GATTACTGCTTGATTCTGACCCAACCCTTAACAAGTTATGAAGGGTGAGGGGTCCTTTGGTGACTAGCACTAACTGTTACACTCATGGTAACAGGCGTGTAGGACCTGAGGTCAGAGACACGCATTGGCCCTGGCCAAGGAGAGGGGGTGTTATAAGGGACCAGAGTTACAAATGGCCTTAGCAGAGCTACTTGTGCTTCGGATGAACTTACCAGGACAGAGGGTGAACAGTGTCCCTAATGGTGTAATGCAGGGGAAAGACCACTGGACTGGGTAATTATTTGGTTTTAGTCCTACCTCTGCCACAAATTTGCTATGTAGCTTTGGCAAGTTGCCTTACCTCTCTGAGCCTTAAATTCCTCCTCTGTAGAATGGGAATAATACTGTTTATTTCTCAGGGTTTTTGAAGGACTCGAGCAGAATAATGCTATGATAGTGTTTTGAAAGGGATTATAAAGGGTTATAAAATAGAATAGAATATGATTTTACCCATCTTCTCCCCTAATCATTCTTTTATATTTTAAATGTATGGATGAATTCTTATTCCCAGGAGAAGGAAATTGAACAGGATCATGATTTCAGAAGGTACCAAGGTAAATGTGGATGGAAATAGATTTGAGGAGATATAGATTACTGGACCATGATATCACAGGTTCACTGAGAGCATGCATTCCTTTATGCACACAGCAAATTAGGCAGAAGAGAGGGGTCCTTTTCTGTTTCCACATCTGCTTTTGAAGGCCTCTGGCCAACTGCTGAGTCATCAGTGGGTGCCAGGACAGGAGAGAAGCAGTTGCTGCTCCCCACATTGTGTAGGTTTTAGAATGCTGGTTTTAAAGATTTTGAGAAACATTTCCAGCTGCCACCCCAGAAGCACCATTCACAAGGCTAAAATGCAGCAATTAGCTGCTTTTTTTCAGACTAGCAAATAGTTTAGAAATGGACAATACTGGCCGGGCGCGGTGGCTCACGCCTGTAATCCCAGCACTTTGGGAGGCCGAGGCGGGTGGATCACGAGGTCAAGAGATCGAGACCATCCTGGTCAACATGGTGAAACCCCGTCT